GTGGGTAGTAATTTCCACCAGGATTTAAAAAAAAACAACTAACCAGTGAAACACTGCTTTGTTTTTACTGAAGGGTTTTGTTTTCACCAAACAGTTGAGTGAACACTGGCGTACACACCTGCTTCATGGTGTCCTTAGACTCCAGGGCTTCTGGCAGAGGAGTCTGAGGTAGAGAGAGAGAGAGAGAGAGAGAGAATTAGACAGAATATAATAAATCATTGTTGATCAGTGACTCTCAAAGTTCAGTATATGACTCGTGTATATATGTGTATATATACGTATAAATTAGGCAACGCTTATCCAAACGCTTATTTTCCGTTTCCGATATCAACCGATACCAATCTATGCAGCCCCCAAAACTGAGGTGAACATCTCAGGACCTTACAAGGGGATTCCAGTATATTTGGCAAAATCCAGGCAATGTGTTATCGGGGTTTCATTATCGGAGGAAAAACCGCTAACGATTCTTGAAGATAATACGTAATTATGCCAATCTTGGTCAGCCGATATTATCGGACATCCCTAGTGTATGGTGGATAAAATAAAGCGATCAAAAACACTGCGATCGTGGTTCTAAACTGGAAGAAAATTAGAGAGAGAATATTAATGTTACAGGCGACACTGTGTACCAGTTGTAGTACTACTTCATTGTACAGTGTGACTTTGACTGGATGAATTTAATAGAGTAGGCCTCTGCTGCTGTTTTTAAAGAATGATCATACTGGTGGTACTCTGGGAGACAGATATTTGTCATTTAAAGGCGTTTTTAAAGAATGATCATGCTGATGGTACTCTGGGAGACAGATATTTGTCAGGGGGATACATGGTACAACAGTCAGAGAAACACTTGGAGGGAGTTGCGGTTCGATTCCCATCAGTGTCCAAAGAGAAGAAGAATTGTCTTTTTGTGGTTGGGATTAAGAGTCAGCACCAAATGCATGATCTGATCCTGTGCTGTAATACCATTGTCTCCAGTGCAGCGTAGGTGGGTGGGTGTCAAGTGTTTGTAAAGACCGTGGGAGGAAAAAAGTACACAGACATCAGCTGATCCAAGCACAGAGTCTGCTGCCATGTCATTAAACAGACATGATGCATTTAAGTGTTTCTTTCTCAGGAAAACACTTTGAAAGACTAAGTACTTCAAGATGAAGTTCCCTGCAGTGTACACGTGTGTTTTTACTGTCGATTCTCTGACATCATCACGAACATAAAGACCTGTGCAAATATTCAACATTCCCATGTCTGAACTTTGGTGAAAGCTGTACTTCCTCTTTATAGGAGAATGTTTTATGACTTTATGATCCTCTCACTGCTGCCACTGTGCACTTTTGGCCTTCAAGTCAGTTACTATCAGGTGTAAAGAGATCCTTGTACTGTACTGTAAAATTGTACAAGCAAAAATATAGTTTTACACCAATATTTCAGAATGTGTATTTATTCTGTTCCATTGAAATATTTAAATTCTGGGAGATATCTTTTCCACATCCTGCCACGTCGTCTCATCTTTGGAATGAAATCCACTTTCTTTCAAATAATTTTTCAATTTTGGGAAAAAAAAAATGTATGGCTCATTTGAAAATGATGATATCTGTCTTAAGACCTACAGCTGTTTCAAAGCTTTGATAATTTAAACAATTTTTCATCTAAATGTGGTCATTTGGGACCTACAGCTGTTTCAGGGCAATTTTTCATCTAAATGTGGTCATTTGAAAATGATGATATCTGTCTTAGAACCTTTTGACTGATAAATTAAAGGAATAGAAAAGAGTATGAAGAGTATTTGTGACACTGAACTTATCACATATAACCATAACCACATATAATCCAGTGTCTGTGCCCTCGCAGTCTGGAGAGTCACTCGTCACTAGATGGCAGCATTGCAGTGGTTTGTACAGATAAATAAATAAATATTACCAGGTCTATATCGGTATTGGTTGATATCGGAATCAAAAGTGTGACGACAATATCGGCATATCAGGATATCGGCAAATAGTTAATATCGGACATCCCTACTAAAAAGCTAACGAGAAAAAAAAAGACGTATAAAAATATTTATACATTGATTTACTTTATCTGTTGAAATGGGCAGAGTAGTTCTGGTCTTTAGGGTGGTCCTGTCCACATCTTATACACGATCTACGGAATAAGCGCCGGGTTCATTGATTTGTTGTTGAGCTACACTGGACATTTAGGAACAAGTGAAGCGTGTTCCTTTGGACGGCGTCATATGACAGGAAGTAACAGTTGACCATGTTTCATGTATAATGAGAATCAGATATGACCTAATTGATAGTATATAGTATAGTATATACTATAGTATAGTATATTTCTGATCTGAGTCGTAAGGTATTTTAAAATACTGTTGTCAACCTTCACAGTTAAAATTTGGTTGCAACAGCAGCTCATCCAGGATGCAGTCTTTGGAGGTTTTCCGTTCCCTCTGACCTGTTAGGGCTTCAAAGTTGAGTAAATTTAGAAACCGCAGGCCCAGAAACGACTCCACTGTCTTCCTGTGACCTGCAGTCAGAACCGCTCCTCCGTGCATTCTCTTACTAACTCTTCTCTGGAGCAAAAGCCACTTGTTGTGTTGAAGGTGAACAATAAACAATACACTATTTATAAGCTGACTTTAATAAAAAAGCTTTGAGCCGGGTTGCCTTCCTGAGTCTCCCACACCCAGGCTGCTGAAACAATGGACAAATGCCTTCAGTCCTCTGAATGTGTTTGTGAAATATGTGCAAATTGCTGTCACTTAGCAAGGTGAAGGGAAGTGAGGGTCAACTGGAGCACATTTTTTAAACACACACACACACGCGCACACACACATCGCCTCTTGTGTGAACGTTACTGCCTTTATCACTTTCTCCACCTCTGGGTTCTCCAAAAACAAAACTAGATGACGACCTGACGACCTGACGACCTGACGGCGGTTGTAAAACAATTGCACTCCTTGATGTTCTTTACAAAACTGTGTACACGTCAAATACACACGGCTAATACAAACAACAAACAACCAATTATTACCACTAGGTGCCTTCATTTTAGCATCGAGATAAGAGTGATCAGATGTAGCCTAGCATTAGCTGATTTAAAATAATGAAGTCTGCTGTAGATATAACACAGAGTCGGGCTGGGCAAAAAAACTAAACAAACAGCCAATAATTAATAACTCATTTTAGCCTATGTTCAACATTAAGAGTGAACAGAAGTTGCTAACCATTAGCAAAATGAGTGAAAAGTTAGCTCACTGTATTAAAAGTAAAAAAGAAAACAGCTTACAGTTAGCCAAACGCTACATGAAAGTAGCTCCAAAGCTGAAAGTAACAACATATTACTACGAAAAGCAATAAATAACCATAAGAATGATCAAAAATGGGTAATCATTCATCAAAATAATAAAAAATTAAACCATCAGACGATAATGCTTACAGTTAGCCAATAAGCCCCAAAGTTAAGACAAACCAGCCAACCAAAAAAAAAAATACCGTGACATATAAACCAGTAATTACCAGAGAATTACATTCATTTTAGCCCAAGATAATGATATGCAAAACACAACAGTAATTACCAAGGAGTTACACTAATATTAGCCTAAAGATAAAAATAGGACTGATAATAAGTGACACAACCTTAGCAGAAATAGTGGAAAATTAGCCAACTGTAAAAAAAAAAAAAAAAAAGTAAATAAAATTAGCAAAATACAGCAAAATGTGTTTCCAAAACTGAACTCCGGGGGGACAAAAAAAAAAGAAAGAAATGATTATCTGTTATTAAATTCTACAGGATTAATGGACAAATAGACCAACTTAACTGAATAAAGAAAAAAATAGCAACAAGGAATTTTATTTTAGAAAGTACCGAAGAAGAATTTGTTGAACAGTTCCTCCTTAAATCATACAGTTATAATAATAATAATATGTTATAATAATAATAATAATAATGACCCTATCACAGTCATCTCTCTGTCGTCTCCTCCACACTAACCACCCTGTGCCCCTCAGCTGGTTCTCAGCGGCAGACATTTAAAGTACCATACCCAGCTGACTCCTCGGATGGTCGGTGTGTCCAGGTAGCGGTTCGGGAACACTTGGTAGCAATGACTCCGGAAAAGATGCATCTTGTTTCGAATCGGGAGAAAACGAGAAGACAACTCTGAGCCGGTCTTCCTGCAGACATTATTCACGGACTCCAACGCAACAGCAGTGACGCGTCACAGCAGAGGAGGCACCGCAACAGGTTCCATTCAGGACTCTGCATGTTGTTCCACGAACCCACGCCGAACATCGGAGTCGTTTCCTGGGTCCGGACCGAGACAGAGGCGAGTGTTCGTGTTGGTCTGAGTGTTGCGTGTCTTCACTCCGCGGCTGTGAGAGTGACACAGGCGCAGTGACAGAGAGACTCGCCCCTCTGGTTTTCTTCACCGCCTAATTGCTGCGTTTAGGTGTTTAAAGTGGAACCACCTTCACTGGAGTCTGTGTGAACAAGTGCACTTCTCACGTTCATTCCTAAAGTGACAGTGACAGTGGAGAGCCTGCCGTCTTTGTCGCTGGGGGTTATTTGAATTTTAGAATTAGAGTCAAAAAGTTCTGAGACGGACGTAATGTTTTCATTTAATTATTAATTAAAACCAGATTCATTATTATACCCTAGTGAATCCCTGGACTGTGACTTGCTTATTTTTACCCCTCCCCAAAATTTTTAACTTCTTTAAAATCAGACAAAAACAAACGAAAGATTTGGTATGAGGGACATCCTCCAGTAAGAAAGTAAGAAATACTGCTTGCGGAAGTGTTCAGACCGGACTTGGACAAGTTATGGCCCGTGGGTCAGATGTGGTCATTTGGGTATTTAAATTCAGTCTGTCAAAGATTACTAAAATATTGTCCCAATTTTAGCATTTATTTGGTCTCTATCTTTTATTACTTTCATTACATTCACAGCTGTATCTTCAAACCTCCTTTGCCTTTGCACCAACCATCTTCACGCCCTCTTTCACAATATACACAAATTTAACACAGAAAAAAAGAAAAATCTCCCTGCCCCCGGGTGGCGACCCACTCCTCACTTTGTGAACTAATGTATCCTTATATCGTTTATTCCCGTAAAGGATAAGGTATGATAATATTGAAGCTCATTTCACATGAGCCTTTCTCAGGTTCCTCTCACATATTTGTTACTAAAAATTAGCAAGAGCTGATTTGGCCCGCAGGGGAATCCATATCGTTTATTCCCGTAAACGATATGGTATGATAATATTGAGGCTCATTTCACCTTCGGACACAGACCAACACAGACACAACCTCATCTGTCCAATCAAACACAGAACCTTTCTCAGGTTCCTCTCACTCATTTGTTACTAAAAATTAAAATTAGCCAGAGCTGATTTGGCCCGCAGGCCGCCAGTTGATCACTGATATATATTAAACAAAGTCAAAAAAAGTTGACATTCTGTATCTTTAATCTTGAAGGCATCCAGGTACAGGAGTACTGCAGTATCTAAGGAGGTACAGTGACCACGCACTAACTGTATAATCTGCGTATCTATTCTAGAGCTACTCTGGTGAGGTGGACGACTCTGTCCCGCACTTATCAAGTAGTCCAGCTGTCTGACTACACTGGGTCTGCAGAGATGTGGAGGTGGAGATAAAATCTTTGTTTTAATGTACTTTACTAGTAATAGTCTTTACTTTCAGTTCACACGTTGGGATAAGTTACTTTAAAGATGAGTGAGTGATGCTTTCAGGAAGGCTTCACTGGATTCCTTTGGTCGTGAGTGACGGTTATAAACCTACATTTGCCAGTGTCTTTGACCCAGACTGAGTGTCTGTGCTCAGTCTGTTGATTTTCAGACTCATGTATTTATACACCCTGTAGAACAGCAGCAGACTACTTACTCCTTCAGTCTTCGTTGCAGAATGTCTCGGTAGAGAACAGATGGATTTGAGCAGATTCTCCATAGAAACGATGGCACGAAGCATATCTGTGTAAAATATACAGACAGACAGTGTGTTTGTTAGCCACCGCAGCTGTAGGTGGCTGAAGCTGATAGGGGGAGCTGTGCAGATCGTCCGATATGAACAAGAGGCCCTACATTTTAAATGACCAGACTCCTGGTTCGCCATCATCTGTGTCGTGAAGGCTGAACGTTATGTAAGACTTGTTTAATCCAAGCCATTGTTCCAGTCTGGGACTGCCCTTCCTGTCCTGACCTCAGTCTGCTGCACAGTTTCACAAGAAACACAGACGACAACATTCATCCTACCGTAGCCTAATTCTCGGGTTAAATGTTTCTGCAGCGGGACACTGTTATTATCTCTGCTGCCATTGTCTCGACGACTGTTTTTAAATCTGTTTTGAGGGACAATGAGGGTTGGACCACAAACAAAGAACATGTTGCTTCTTCTGCACTTCTTTCCATTCCTTCCACTTCCATTAAAATAAAGAAGAAACTATAGCTGTCAAAATCAAAACGTTCAATTAAATTGTGAACTTGATCAGATTGTAATTTTAACCTAACCTAATTGTAATTTTTTTTATTATGCTAATATCGGCCGAACGATATTATCGGCCCAGACAATATCGGCATATCGGATATTGGCAAAAAGTTAATATCGGAAAGCCCTAATTTAAACATAATTCCACCAGTTGATACAGATGTTATTTACACACATTGTGGGGAAAAAGTTTTTGTTTCATCGTAGCACCTAAGGTTTAAAATACCAACTCAACACAGCATGCATTTTTTTTAGGTAAGGCTACTGCTAACAAGCTAACTCACAATATTGCAAAGTGAATTGCGGAGGCAAAGTAATATTGTTGAGGACAAAGGTGAAATTTTGAAGGTAACTCCCTACGCGTTCGAAGCTAAATTTTGAGTTATACTTTTTGTATTTTGAACATGCTGTTCTGCATTATACTGGAAAGCAGTATTTTTGTCATATTTAGGAATTTGGATCTAGCTTGATTAAACGTTTTTTTTATCACAATTAATCAAGATTGATACATTAATTAATTCTAATTAACACACAGCTGCCCCGTGATGAAATGGATTACACTTTTTAATCCCTAGAAAAAAAGAAACACTAAAAAAATCTAATGCACTCGTTCTTATCAGGTTTTGTCTTCCCTGGAGTAAATAAATCACAGCAGCCTAAACGCTCCATAAAAAAAGAAAATATTATTTCATGTGTAGGTGTGGCTGTAAAGTTGTATTCCAAAAATAAATTGTATGTTGACGATGAAAGAATGTAGTCTTACTTCTCGAGGCTTTCTTAGAAAACACAGACACGAGAGAGCGGCTGAAAATCCAGTGAAGATAAAACATTCACTCAGTATTTTTTATAGTATCTGAAAAAGAACCTCGTGTTCACACGACAGTTGTGTCTTTTTGTACCGTATGGTTTCATCGCAGTATTTAGGTCTTTGATCGCGGTACTCAAGATAAAGGAGCCAAGATCTTGTGCTGTAGGTCGTGGGGTCAGTGGTTAAAAATGAACAGTGTCCACTGACGTCACTGTTCTACTGACAGTCTGAGTCGGTCAGATAAAGATACTGTGTACCGTGTACCGATTACCTGCGCCAACATATAATCTCACAGGATCGTTAGAAACTGCTGAATGTGTATCACGTAAGACTTGTCTTTCGTCACGAGATGAATGCTGCCCTCTATTGACCATGTTGCTACCCTGCAACCCTTGGAAGTTCGAGATCGTTTTTTTTACATTATTGTTGTTGCTGTTTTTGTCGTTTGCCTTCTGATTCTCCATTAAACACAGATAAACAGACAAGAAAAAAAACTAAAAATACAACAAACATAAATAAAAGATATGTTGCATCACTAAAGAAGTGGTCAATTTTGAGTTAACACAGTAATAAATTTAAGCTTTCATGCATAACAACAACAACAACAACAACAACAACAATAATAACAATAATAATAATAGCTGATAGTTATAACAGCAATATTTATTTTTTGATGATTTATTAATGATGACATTATTTTTATTATTAATATTATTGTTGTTGTTATTTACCTGGTGAAGTTTTGCACTAAATGTGTGTCTGATTCTCCCTCTTTCTCCTTCTTTCTCTTTCTCTTTTCCATGTCGTACAGTATGTTTTTATTCAGTTACTCCAGGGATGGGAGTGGAGTTTCCTGTAGCACATCTACGCCCAAGGTGGGCACTTAATCTGTCTGTGTTTGTTGAGTCCTGCAGCTGGCACACACACACACACACACACACACACTCAAAGAGAGTTTCCTTCCTCTCTCCGGGACAGTTAGCAGTGATCAGGAGAAACTAATTTTATATGTTTGACCTCAGTGTCAAATGCGGACTAAAAACGATGAGTTAGTCTCACAAAACCTGCTTTAACTGCTTTAAGGAAAACTTTGGGCAAATACATAAGAAAAATGTTTTAACTCCAAGAACTCCAAGAGATGTAGCCTAACATAAAAATATATATTTAAAAAACCTCAATAACCCAGAGCTAATTCAAAAGACATAAATCCACATGAAATCATAACATCTGAATCTAACAGTCACAGACACGTTAACCCACTCCAGGATGTGTCCTCAAACTCACCACTGGCTCAGTCATATGAATCTCTTCAGTCCAATAGTTTGCACTTGTGAGGGCTTTTCTGCTCTGCTTTTCTGCTCTGCTTTTCCAGCCTTTGCCTCTTTTCACATCTATGAGGAGGGTTTTTCAGCAGGGCAGTTTATGTGAGATGTGGGGAGTGAGTGTTGCTGCTCACGGCTTCCTGTATCTTTCCAATTGGTCATGAGGAGAGCGCTCCAGGGACTGGGTAGAAATACAACAGTGTGTGTGTGTTTGTAACATAGCTTCAAGTCTTCTGTTTACTATCACTTACTTTTCTTTTACATAAGTAAGAACTGGGATGTTTTTTCATTCGTGACATTCCTGATTCAAAACTATAAAAAAACCATAAAATACTTAAAGCCCCGTCATAGGTTCAATTAGACTGTATCTGTGTGTGTGTCATTGCTGGTGTCACGGTGATAAATGTTGTACAGGATAAATGTGAATGACCTTTTTTTTTTTGTTTTGAAAGTGACTTGAGTTCTTGAATCATATTTGTCAGGCTCATCTTCTCATGTGAATGTTTTATGGTTTTCTGCTGGGAAATTCATTATTGTCCATGGTTACTGTCTTCTGTGTTCTCTTGTGTGCCGCTCACAGTGTTAATAAACACAAAGCTGTGATGTGTTCAAGGGGGAATTCAATAATGACTCTGTAAGGCCTTAAGGAGAACTTGTTGACACTTAATAACCCTTTATGTAGAACAGTATCTCCAGGGACATGTAAAGGAGTTATAACCACAGGTAGTAAACAATGCACTTTTTAAAACACTTTTAGGCTCTGTTTACATCATCATTGACCAAAAAAAAATCACAAAATGTGGTTTATCAATAAACTACATTCAACTGTCAGCAGCTCTAACTTACAGAAAATACCAATGCTAAATACTTGTGAACCAGCCCTGTAATCTCACCTGTAAATACAATAATTAAATAATAATCATATTTTTAACCAGCCCTGTAATCTCACCTGTAAATGCAATAATTAAATAATAATCATATTTTTCTAAGTAACATATATACTGTATGACGAGAGGAGAGTTTACGTCACCGCTGGATGCATGCATTCTCTTTGGTCTCCACTATGGACGCTATTTAAATTATTGCAGCTTTTCTAGGGCAAAGATATTTAAAAGGGAAAAGAAGATGGATGACTCCACACAAGAAACAGAGTCGCAGTCATACGTGTTCCCCTTCTTAATTTCACTACGTGTTAGTGATATTCTATTTCATTTTATTTACTTTTTAATTTAATGTAGTTAGCTGTTTTAAATATGCAAAATCACTGAGGAAATCGATGTATTTTGTGACAGACGTAAGACCGGAAGTGAGCCTGGTTAACTTCTCTTAGCCCAGATCAGCATCTTTGCGGCGTCTGTCAGATAAACACATACCTTTAAATTCGCTGCTGCATTGGTTTGTGGATTGCACTGTCGCCTTGATTATTTTTTGACGATTTAAGGTCGTTATAAAAGTTTGTGTTTGCTTTAACGGCGCTTGTTCAGTCGAGGAAGTCGATTTTATGTCTTTGTTTTCCCGTCGCTAGTGTCAAGGATATTACATAACAGTAAATATGGCGCTAAGCCGTTAATGTGGTCCAAAACGGGTCTGTTTTTTAAATAAATAACTCTCGAAACACGTTTCGTTGAGTGAGCTTGTTTAAATTTAAACTAGCAGGAGTTATTTTTTCGACAATGGGGATCAACAGGATCTACATTAGCATAGCGTATGCAACCTTTGGTACACTGGTTGGACTTTCGGCGTTCTTAGTCTGGAATATAGCCTATAATCAGCCGTGGACGGCGGCCATGGGTGGACTGTCAGGTACGTAAACACACTAATGGAGGTGTAACGTATATTATTAGCGTGTGTTTTGTAATTACACCCTGTGCTAACAAAGGTTTAAATGTAATCTGTGCTAGTTTGTTAAACTAGGCCCAGCATGTCAACCCACTATCACAGGCTAATCCTGGTGTTTTTTCAAATATATATACATTTGATATCACGTTTCAATTCAAGAGCTGCGTGAAAATGTAAAGGATGACAACAAAGGGCTCCACTTGTTTTTTATCTAACGTTATTTCCATCATTTGCCTTAACAAATAACGTAAGAAGTCATACGTTAATGCCACCGTGGATATGTTTTGTTCACCCTTAAACATCTATAATGCCATTTGTTACGTTCGTACTGCCTACGCTGTTCACTAACATGTACGTCTAACTAGTTTTCTTTTACGTCATTGGTTTCTTGAGATGATTGATTTAGTAATGGTGTAAAAATGTCACTTTGTACATTAACATGTTCTGATGTTTTCAAGTGTCGTCTTTAACTTTAAGACCCAAAGTATCCAGTTTCACAGGGAGGCTAGAAAACCGTACTATATTTATTCAAAAGTAACAGGTCTGTAACCGTACCAGACAGTTGTGTTCACGTGAATACCTTTGTCATCATCACAGTATGTGTAATACATAGTATAAATCAGAGTACTAGGGAAATACAAAGGAGTTGGAAAATGTATTTATTAATTAAGATAATCTCAGTCTAGCCAAAAAAAATCTTTTAAATTAAATTTCCTAAAATAATGCTGTTGTTATTCATCTAATTTTCATCAGCTGGAGGTATAACCAAGTATTTGCGTACAGTGTCTTCATGGCCCTCGGGTGTCACATCAGTCCATGTGACCAAGTTTGAAATGGATCCCTGTCAACAGCAGCTGTCGTCACACACGTGTTTACCATTTGTCATTTTGATGTCATAACAACAATTGCATATGTTTTGAATATGTCATGGTAGTTGTGACGGCGCTCGCTGCATTTTTGCAGTAATTATGTTGCTTCATGTAATAAATCTTTGATTAGCAAATGCTTGGACGGTCACCAGGAGTTTTAGAGAGACAGCTACCAAATATTGGTATGAATATTCTGTTATTCTCATTATTATTACTTGGAGCTGTCAACTTGTGAAATTAACCATGTACATTTTAATACATCAGCAGATAACTTTTACATATTTTCTTGAGATTTTTCTACATTAATTGTTTATCATCAGTTGGATTAGTCGCCAATTAAACAATATATGTTTTGTCATATAGTGTAGAACTGTGTCTTTATCTCCACTAATGATTGATCAACACCAACCCTGTGATTAATCACATTGAAAAATATAATTGTTTAACAGCCTCGTTATTATTATTAGTAATAATAATGAGTTTATAGAGAATGTTTAGGTTAATAATGATACTGTTGGATAGAAAATGGCCTATAATTAACAATTAAGCATTTTTTATTTATTTTGATTTTTTTTCCACACAGGAGTGTTGGCGCTGTGGGCTCTGGTCACACATATCATGTACCTTCAGGACTACTGGCGAACCTGGCTCAAGGGGCTGAGGTTCTTTATTGTTGTTGGTGTTCTCTTCTCCATTTTGGCACTGACTGCCCTCATCACCTTCCTCACTCTGGCCATCACACAGAAGCAATGTAAACCTACAGTTATGATCAGTTATATTTACTCAGTTAACATTCAGTATGTTCTGTTTTGAAGTGGTGCAGAAACTTGAAGTCAAAGTCATCTCTCTTCTTTGCCTCCTCCTCCCCCCTCCACAGCTCCTACTGACCCCAGGAGCCTCTACCTCTCTGGTGTGTGGAGCTTCCTCACCCTGAAGTGGTCCTTCCTTTTAGCTCTGTACTCCTACAGGTACCGTCAGGAGTTTGCAGACATCAGCATCCTCAGTGATTTCTAGCCTGGACTGATGTAACAGACCGGTGGACTTTTGGAGGATTTTTGGCTCCTGACGCAGGGGCTTTACAAAGAGCTTTTTAACAAAGACGGGGAAATCCAGACATGGCTTGATTTAAACGTCACCCGACCTTTGGTTACATGGAGTTGCACTCTCGCTTAACAGGTTTTGTTTGTATTGCCACCTGTTTTCCAACTTTAACGAACTACACATTTTATTCATGTTGCTGTCAAATATCTACGGACTGAACTGGAGGAAGGATTTTAACTTGGGAGTTTAAAAAAAAAACTTAGGTAAAAGGAAATCCTCATCACTAAATGTTTTATTGTAATGGTTTGTTGTAAATTAAAAGACTCTAAGCTGGAACCCTTAGAACCCTGACTATAACTAATGACCTAAACTTTGCTGACAACAGGCAGTTGATATTGTATGTCGGAGGTTGTGATTGTTTTGTTTTTATCCAAAACATCATCATAATTATAGCATCTTAGTTTTAGATTTTTTTTTACCTCTTTTAAAATCAAATGAAGTGTTTTTTAATCTGGTCATTCACTCATTTAACAGTTGCACTTACAGTTAAAGTGTTTTGAGACATCGCCCCCTCATGTTCCTGAGGGGTCGGGGCATATTATATTTTCAAATTCTTATTCTCTCTTTGCTATTTTTTTATTTGTTTTTAAATAATTGATCATATCCCATAATCTTGTGCTGTAGAGTCAGCGCTCCTCACTACTTTCTCCACCGGGGGGACCTGTTTTTGCCTGTGTACAGTTCACAGCCATTCCTCTTTAGAAAGAAGTTTGTCAAATAATTGCACTTTAACCTTTGATGTCGACGCCATTGTTTTGCACACACAGCCTGTTACAAGGAAGAAGAAAACGTTCGACTTTCCATCACTCACGTCTCGCCTTCACTTTCTTGAAATACACTATACAGTGCGTGTCCTTCCTGTTGCACCGACTATTATACGTGTACGTCAAGTTAGCCTAGGACTTAGGAGTAGTTTAGTTTCAGCTGTAATGTTTAGTCCACACTCCTCCATAAACATGTAAACTGAACTTTTGCTTTGGGAGATTTGAACTGAATGTAAAAATGCTACATGTTACATGAAAAGTGAACCTAATAAAGACGCATTTATGATAAAGTACACCGTGTCGGATCTGACTGTAATTTGGAAACCACTGACCTGATGGGAGATTGTGACTTGTGTTTTAAAAAACCTTGAATATTATCAGTACAGAAAAATGATCAACACAAAATTAACTTATTTAGATCCTGGAGGTTGAGTCGAAATAAACAAGTATTTAAGGTTAAAATAATGAGAGGGTACGCAGTAAAGTTGACGGCTGACGTGTTGTGGGTTGCATGTTGCTAGGCTACATAGAGTGTAGCACACTGTGTTTGTCGTCTGTAAGAACGTCTGATTAGTTTTACTCTGATCACACACTGGACCATTCTGATGTTGTTTTTTCTGGGCAGCATTTGGCCCACGAGCCGCTATTTGATAGGGCAGAGTTTGTGTTTGTTGACAGATGTTGACAGGCTGGCTTCACTTACACATAGAAAAGCTCATCCTGCTGTGTGATGTCATCAGAACTAGAGCTGGTACCTTTTTATTGGGCTGACATTTCTGTGTGTCCTGTTCTTCCCAGCCACGACCTTTGCCCTCCCTGTAATCTTGGTCCCGTCACTGGCCTGTATGATTCTTTCTTCCCCCTCACGGCATCATTTCTCACAGACACTGCTCTCCAGATGGTCCCAGGTAGATCAGAGTGATTTATCTGCCGCCATTTCTAAGCATGACAGTGATAAGTTGCCAGAGCTGCAGCATGCAGATTAGCTGCTCTCAGACTAACACTGCTCCGTTTTCAACAGGACAATGAAAACAGATGTGACATCACTTTCCATGTTCAGCCACTTTCGCTGTGTCAGCGTTATGTCGAGCATCGTCTGTCTCAGTCTGGGCCCAGAGTACCAGTACATCCATGCTATTGTTTCTCTTAATGCCACCATCATCCACTACATGTACAGTAGATATACACTATGTATATATATATATATATATATATATGTGTGTGTGTATTACATACTAAATACTAGAATCTAGATACTAAGTAAATACTAAAGAAATTTTATTTAAATCTAATTGATTTTTGAAGTGTTGTTGTCTCCTGTAAACCTCCATACCTATTCCTCCTGGGCCAACTGTTACAGTAAGTAGGATTTATTTACAGTATTACTCTGTAAACGTGAGACACAATAACTGACTGTTTGTTTGACTCTGCCGCCTGCAGCTCAGGTGACAAAACACTGCAGCCGTAGTCAGTAATCTCTGCCTCGTCTGTCCACGATGACGTTATGTTTGTTCAACACACTTGTGCAGAGAGGAGAGAAAATAATGTTATACTAAAAAATGCTGTGAACGACATCCCACACAAAAACACACCTCAGAACTCCTGAGGTTACTGTGGGTACAACGATGGAGATGGATACTGCAGTATTTATTTTTCAAGAGATTTCCTCCTCCAGTTTGACAAAGACCAATGGATAATTACACAATTGTTCAACTGACTTAACTTAGATTAGCTTGGACTGGAATTGGCTGGATTGCATTGGATTAGATTAAATTAAATTAGATTATAATTGACTGGATTGGATTAGATTAGAATTGACTGGATTAGATTACATTAGGTTAGAAATCACTGGATTGTACTAGATTTGATTAGAATTGAATGGATTGGATTAGATTAGATTAGGTTAGGTTAGATTATATTAGATACGATTGGACTGCAATTGACTGGATTAGATTAGATTAGATGAGATAGAATGAGATGAGATGAGATTAGTGGGCTATACTGTAATATACTGTACTGCTATTTAAGCAGTAAACCAAGTAGTTGTGAAGTACTTGTCTCTACCTCAAGTGGAAAGTGCAGTGCAGTGAAAATAACAGTTTTAAATTATGGTGATGATCAATGATTCTGAATCTGAATATATAAACCTGTGCCTGGAGCTGCAGTGTCGTTGTGTGCTATGAAAATTTGTTGTTACTAAAATTCCCCAAACCTGGTGTTGTATTCCTGCCTTCCTTTCCTGTCATCATTACCGGCCGCTGCTGACAGGGGGTGGTACACACCAGTACAGGAGATGGCAACGCTGAGCAGATAATGAGGGGAACTCTGAGTCCCACTCCAGCCACCCCCTCACTATAACTGGACAGAACCTGCTGACAGTGCAGCCGTACACAAGTGCTCCTGTAATTAAATGAGAATCTGCGCGGCCACAGCCGAGAGGTTGAGCTCGCCGGAACACTTTGGCCGAGTCCGTGCAGCTGGACGGTGAAAAAGAAAGTGTGGACCAAGATGAGAAGAGTCCACAGCATCAGCACTTTCTGTGCTATTGTTGTGTTCTCAACTCTATTAGAAATCCTCCGTATGCATCATTTTTCATTAGGAAGAATAAAGCTGCCCCAACCAATAAAATAAAAACCTGTAACCTTTGCCAGTCGCAGTAGAGGAATGTAGTAAAGTACGCAGCAAGGTCAGACTCCAGCAGGGCCTCGGGGCAAATTTTCTTTTTGATATATGCTGATAAATTTAACACCCGACTCTCGCCTAGAGATTCTCATCATTTAATGCTATAAAATATAAATAGTTGACTTTTACAAAGTGCAAAATGTCCAGTCAGGCTTTCGTAGCCAAGTAGAGGAAAAGTGTACTGTACTGTACATGTATGTACGTGTACACGGAAGTACTCTGATTTAAAACAGTTTCTGGTTCGAATCCACCAGCTGCCATATTAAGCCGCCCCCTGCTCACTTTGCTGATGGGTAAAATGCAGAGGTCACATTTTTCCTGCTCACTTTGGTGATGGGTAAAATGCAGAGGTCACATTTCAGGGTGTGCTGTGTCACAATGACAAATAATTCACTTTCACTTCACTAACTAAATATCACTCTTATTAGCCAAATACTAGGAAAGCTACGAAAGCCAAAGGAAAACTCGAACTTGTAGAATTTGAATGACTACTCCTTTAAACCCACCCTCCAGCCCCCCCTCCCCCCCTTCCTGCCCCCACCCCTCTCCACCTCCTCAATTTACTTCACACGAGCCAAAAGCCCATGTTAAAAAAGTTAATGTACTCCCATGACATCTGGGCCGGCTCAGCTGAGCAGGTGCTCGAAGGCCTGGAGTGTCTGACTGAGCAGTCGGCTGACAGTGAAGTTGGAAAGCGAGCGATGCCTGAATGGATTTATGAAGCTATTAGGAAATCGTCCTCAGGTATTCTGGCGCACATCTGCTCCTCCGCTCTCCATCCTCTCTGCAGCAACACCCTGACACCAGCAGTCATTATGCAGTTTCTGTGGCCACCAGCTTTAAAGTGAAGCTCTCAAAAAGTCTCACATTACTTTGTATGTGTGTGTCAGTGAGAGTGAGTGAGTGAGTGAGTGAGTGAAACCTCTGCAGCTTCTTATGCACTTAAGTCAAACTGAATGTTATTATTATTATTATTAAGGTGAATAAGCTGCCTTTAAATCTATGATTCTCTCTTATGAATCAAAGATTTACGTTTGACCAAAGACTGTTGTTTGTCAAACCTCAATATTTTGAAATTGAGTTTTGTTTGCTACAATATTTTCACTTCTGAGGGGAATTCAAAAAGTTCTTAAATGGGAAAAAAAAAATGGTTTTAGACCATAAACTGATGTAAACGTCTTTTACTAGTTAAGAATGTATTATTATAAATCATTAGTAATAATAATGTTGTTTTAAAAATTAAAAAAATAACTAGATAACTCTGTAATCACTGACCTCAACCAGCTGTGCACCAGTGAACCAGCGTTGTGCTCCAACTGAAGTTCATCATCTGTGAATTATTTACATTTACGTATTTAGCAGTGGCCTTTATCCGAAGTGCATACAAGAGGGGGAGGAGCCCCGTCAGCAGATTAGAGGGTGCACCAGTGAACCAGCGAAGGGGAGGAGCCCCGTCAGCAGATTAGAGTTATATTTTAACACCAGCAGCAAAGACAGGAACAAGACTGACTGTAAGATTTGTTTTATTGTGAAAGGAGCGATTGAATAAAACACCTGAACACACACCTTAGCGCTGAATACGCTAATGTCGCTAATCAGTTTAACGGCAGAGTAGCTAGATGAGGAGTTCACACCCGACCATGTCACTTATCGTATATAGTTTAACAAGTACCAGGCCAGTTATTTAAATTACAATAAATTATAAAAAAAAGTTGTTAAAATGCTTCAAGTTTTAATCATTTTTAACGACCCTTGCACCTTCGTTAACCCTGAAATATAAGATGTAGAGAAGTGTGTATTAAACACGTTTACACTCTCACTGGTTTCATAGCGTTCAGGTTAATTGCGTGGCGTCAGACGGTGTCACCTCATCCACTTCCTGGCCCTGTCACTTAGAGCTCGTCTGCTTTTATGAAGCAGCCCCGGAGTCAATATTCGACTCTGACCTTTCAGAGTCAAAATTTGATTTCTGAGGACATTAATAATACAGAGCCAAAGAAAGACAAATTTTATTACGGGTTAGGGTTCCTGAAATGTGCTGCAGGAAAAGTTGGAGGAGGAAAATGATGATGATTGAGCATCTGAAAAGTTTTCTGAAAAATTTAAATAATGACTGTTTGACATTGATCAAGTGGGAGCAGTTGGTGCTTTGCATACGTGTTTTACAGCCCTCTGTTCAGCGCTCCACTCTGCTTCATTAACACCTCTTTGTAACGGCGAATCATAAATCTTGATCGTGCGGCGTCAGCAGACTGTTTTTGGACAGGGCCTATTTACCGAGCTGCCGAGGGCAAATCCGACCACTGATAGCTCTTATTAATTAATGTTGTGTATTGTCTCGTTCCAGCAGTTCTACAGCAATTAAACGCACCAACAATGGTGCGTTCTCCGTTGAGTTATTAAGGCGCGATAATTATTGAGTCGGCAACTGCAGTTAAATAACACAGTGACCCCAAGTCGAATGGAAAAAATACCACTTGCCATTTCTGTTTTTTTATCCTTAGTAATTTGTAGATTTAATTAGGCTTTTTTTTTTTGTCGTTTCACTCAACTGATTTCATATTAAGTGAAAATTCTTTATTAAAAATGTCAAAAGCCATTGACATTTAGAGTAGGATATGAGCTTCAAAGAGCCTGAGCCTTAAAAGGTCTTTAAAAAAAAGTTTTATAGTAAAGGACACAGGGAATTGATTCACATTCTATCACCAGTGTTGCCACCCAAGGCTGAAGGAAGGAAGATAACGCTTAGACAGATAAACAAATTTGACCTTGCTTCCAAGCATGCTGTCAAGACACGGACAGGTCTGTAGCTATCATGCTGCACAGACACACAGCCATCAGCGCAGTCTTTTATCGTGACATCAACTCATTAAACCGAGCGGCAGGTAATGTTTGCCGTGCCGTCTTCTTATTAGATAAAAAGCGTGGCGTGATGACTGCAGATACCAGCTCCACACTGAGCCATTCAGTACCAGCGGGGAAATTAGACAAGACAAACAAAACAGCACAGTGTGATGCAGAACTGAGAGAACTCATTAGAACTCTGCAGTGTGGGAGGAAGCCACACGGTTGTTTTCAACATGTCGTCAGGGGTTGTTGAGTGTTAATACACAATCATAATTTGGTCACATTTTTTGTGTGTACAGAATTGCTTTATTAGGTTGGAGAATCTCATGGTGAAATCACAGCTCCTAAAGGAGAGGTCGGGGGAGGAGGGGTGATGATGAATGAAGTTGTAGCATAGCTGCCAACAGATTTGCTAACGTAAATCTAAAATCACAACTCATTAACGTATAAATAAAATCTTTTTACTCTCTACCTTTTGAAAACATCGGACTTAAAATATTGCACTGAGACATTTTTACAAACGTTAGCCAAGAAGATAGCTTAACATTAGCATAGGACTTTGCTACATGTTTAAGTTAAATGCATTTTCCCCACTGACAGCACAATATAGACATTGCCTTTGAGAAATAAATAAAAAGGGACAACATTTTGCACCATTGCCTCCCCTACAGGAAGGTCAGTTTGAGTTTCACTCCAGGCGAAACATTGTTTTTTTATGTACTGGATGTCAGGATTTCTTAGGAATTCTGGAGTCTCTCCTCGAAACTACCAACATTAGAATTAAGGATTTAAAATGAGATGTAAATAGTTTAGTATTGTTCAAAGTTTACCCCATGTAACGTATGATAAAGTAGTAGAATTTTTGTATTGTTCAAAGTTTACTCCATGTAACGTATGATAAAGTAGTAGAAGACAAATAAATGTGGGAAGAAAATGCAGATCATAACACCCACCAAAGAGCCAATATTGGCTGTTATAATATTTCCATTTCCTGCTGCTGCTTTAATGCATTCATATCTGATTTGACAAGAACATTATGCACACTTTCAGAGGTGGTAGAGTGGGTGAATTTCCATCTAGAAGGCCCAGAGGTCAGACCAGTGGCTGCGGGTGAACAGAGGTGGCAGAATTCTGATAGAAATAGCATTGTATATGAAATAAAGTAGTGTCTGTGTGTAAATAGGCACAAAATGTAAAAGCAAAAGAACTCATACAGACCATTAGAATATGGAAATGGTGTCAAAAACAGTCTTTAAAAGCCTACAAATGCTATGAGTTACAATCATGCTTCAAGAATTAAACACGTTCAAACCTGATCTAAAAAACCTCAGCTTCAAACGGCTGTAAATACAGGTACAAAGACACAGTATGTGTTCAAGTATCTTTACTTTCCTTGATTTTTAGACTCATTTGAACCTGAATTTGCATGTAATCCTGCATATGATGACACAGAAATGTCTGTACAAACACTATTATAATATAGATATACGAGTTAGGGCCGTAATCGCTGAATTTGCGTACTTCCGGTTTTAATACTTCCCTATCTTACAAATAAAAGTAATTACCGTGTGGGAATTATTTAGTTTCACATAACGGACAATTAAACCACAAGGAAAACGTCTATGGTTAAGCAAACAGTACCATGCCGAACCGAACGGGGCAGCCGAGAGCTCAACAGGTGCTTGTTAGTGGGATTCTCAACGAAGTTGACGTTGGCAGAAAGTCAAGTGCACTGTTGGGCATCGTTTGTTTGTTTATTTAATTACTCTCGCTCTTTTAATTCGACGTGATACACCCCAGTCATAATTATCATGATTATCGTAAAAATGTTAATCGTTTTGAGGTCCACTGAGGCAAAGAGACGTTTAAAACGACATGGAAATAAGAAATACCCTTACCAGAAAGTGGCGGAGATTGTCGTAAAAAGGGCCAGGCCAAAGGAACAAGTAAAGGTAAGACCAAATAAACTTTTATTTTATTTTATTTTATAGTAAATGCAGCAGACTAGGTACAAGAGAAGAGAACAATGGCATGTTTTTTATTCAATGCTCTAAATGTGTTCACTTGTTGAATTCAGTAAAAGTGTTGAAGGACATGCGTGCAGGAAAAATTGCCTCAATGTATTTTGTTCTGGTGCAATTATCTGTTACACCACATGGGACAGTTTGTTTTGCATTCTTTATGACAATTTGTTTCGGCCAAATGACTAAACCTGAGCTATGGCAGCTTAAAGGGAACCTTTTGTATATCTTTGTAATCGGAATGTTATGTTGCACAGTTGACACTGTGACACGTGTTTTGTTTTCCACGCTGTTTGCACGAGACACTGTGACACATGTTTTGTTTTCCACGCTGTTTGCACGATATGAAAAATAGATTGCTTGTGAAAAAAAATCTTCTTTGATCTCAGTCGTCTGAACAATGTTAAAGAGCCTTGAAGTCTAATTTTACACATTTGTTCTTTCACAAACCATATGTGGGTCATGCTTTTGTCTGTTATAGAGATGCATTTACAGCACTACTTAAAATGCATCTTTATCAGCAGTCTCCTGTGCACCCAATATTTGTTCTAATATGGGTCGTTTGATTGAATTCTGTTGTGTTTTTCCATTATTGAGAATATTGTTTTACACAAAAATGGCCTGTGGCATTAAAAAAAGGATGGGTGCCACTGATTTGGAACCTTTCCTTAATGGAGTCCCTAAATGATTGAAAAACATCATCAATATTCCTTATCCCTTAAGGTTTGTGCTGAAATTACATGTGTTGACCAGAGGATGGCACTGTGTCTTTATCTTAAAGTCACTACACTGCTGTGGTCTGCTCAACAGCAGAAACTTTGAGGTGGTCTTAGATTCGACCAGAAGGATTTGGTCAAAGACAAAGCTGTGAGCGGGGCAGCCGAGGCGATTAAAATGAAAGTATGACTTAAAAAAGAGCCGATGTTGTGATCTCCTTTTCTGTGATCCATATATATTGAGCAAACGCCGAGTGATGGTTGAGCGGAACCGGAGCACCTCCGTGGCCAAGCCATGAATGAAGATGCAAATGGAAGAAAGAAAAAGTTAAAGCCTTTAGTGACACTAAGCACACCCAGAGGGCCGTGGTGCAGAACGCTCAGCCTCAGAACATCAAGGACGCAGCCCCTCCATCTGAGCAGCCCCTCGGCACACATCACATCCCGTCCATCTACATTTTCATCCAGACAAACATTTGACTCCTTATGCCGCACTGAGGAAATGACAACAGACAGATGTGCCCTCCTCAGAGGATAAGCTGCTGCTCCGCCAGTGATTAAATATATGTAAAAGAAATTACTGCAGAGAAGGAAAGAAACGACTTAACATGAAAATGGATCCGCCTAGAAACCATTTCTGCACATGTTTTTCTTCCTTGGCTTTAAATGTCAATTTCATGTCAGTCTCTTTCTCCAATCGTCCATGACGTCTTTGATTGCTTCAGCTCTTTGCATGAGAATACCTTGAAATGAACATTTGCTTCTTTTGGTGCCCAGACTTCCTTGAATCCAATGCGTCCTAGAGGACCAGATTGATGATCAGTCTGCTTCAGAGACTCTCATATGTGCAGTTTGGTTAAGTCCCCAAATTATAAAGTGTGTCTAAACAGACTTTTATATCTCTTGAGAGGAATTTCCTGGTGGGCCCTTGGATATGAGAAGAAATGTCACAACCGCTATGCATACCTCATGTGGCGTGTTGTTTCCGCGAGTCATTCAAGCATATAGTACTTTACTTTCCTCAGTGCTGTTTACAGAAATACGGGTGAGCCAACAGCAGGTAAACCTGTCATAGTAGCACCTGCTATATCCGAAGAGCCAGGAGGGAAAGTGAAGGACAGGTTTTATCATGAAAATGGCTGCTGTGCTACTCAGGAAGATTATAGATGAAGGTGAAACACAATGTTGATGGGGAGACAAAAAAACAAAATAAACTAAATTTCCATGAAAGTCGCCTTAAAAAGTTGTCATACAATGTAAATTAAAAAAATATAGTTTAATAGTGAAAAAGACACATATTTTAGTTTCTTCGACAAATGAAATAAACTTCTTAATTAGCCAACGTTAAGACAGGGATGAAAGTGTAACTGTCCGAGGTTCAATCCTTTAAAGCAAGGATTGGTCGTAGCTCATCATTTTATGTTAAACATTTCCGAAAGATTAACTTTCAATGTGATGGCAACAACTTTCAAAGCATGATAGAAAATATAGATCTGTAACCATCCAGAGCTAACAGTTCTGTAAAGAAAAATTGGGTAGATAAAATAAATCCTATACACGATGCCAGTGGTGAAAAGTGTTTGTTTTTCTGCAACTACAGAGTGCAGTTATGTCTGTCCATTTCCTATGTAAGGTCTACAGAGCACAGTAAACCTAGTATCATATGATACACCGTTGACCATATCATTATATAATTGCTCACAAAGCAGAGCATTATAATTTAGATTTAAATTTTGATATATGGTCTCATTTTCTGTAATTGCATCTTAGCATCCAAGCAATCCTCCTGCCTCCTGAAGCACATTAGGGCCAGAATTGTATAATGAAGTAATTAGTTAAATTACTAAGAACAGTTACATGCATACTGTAAGAAACTTTTTAGACAAAAGCAAAGAAGTACTCTTGAGTCTATTTTCTGTTATTATTACATCATTAGTATTTGTACTACTTGGCAGAGTATGGGATCATGCCCTCAGCCTTAACAACTTTTCGCAATTCAAACTTCAGCAGAGAGACTTCATCCCAAACTCGTTGACATTCTTCCACATCTTCTACAGTATCATACATCCGAGGATGTAAAGCTGGCACACAACCTTGGCTCACAGTTCTCACCTTCAAAAGATATAGCGTTGTGTTTTCTGCTCGGCTTCTGTCGCCCACCAGAAGCTGCCATCACAACCATGAGTGCTCCATTGTCTGCTAGTGTTGTCATTGTTATTTGTCTTTGGACTGCCTGTGGAGGTATAGACAGGCCCTGGGGAAGCAGGCGCCAAGCTGGATAATTAGTTATTCTTCAATGCCAGACGGGCACGTTGCCTCACTTGGAGGGGAAATGGAAAGTGGCATCACTATCACAGTTACACAGGAACATCCTTTGGTGTGAGGGCTGGGTTCCAGTGCATCTGTCACACCACAACCCATCTACCCACTGGCGAGACAATAACGCTTAGCAGTCTAGGAACACACAGCGTGGATAATTGCTTTATCTGAAACAGCATTATTCCTGTCCCATTTGTCATAATTAGTTTTTGGTGCAGGGGAATAATATTGAATTTCTGTTTCTGTCCTAAAGACGCTGGGAGATTTAGGCACAAACACAAAGACATATAGACTAACATTATTATTAATGGTGTCTTTATTATAAATCACTGCCAAAAGTAATAACGTGAGAATAGTCTGTCCCTCAGAAAGTTTCTTTGTCTTCTGTGGTGGTCTAACAGCTGGAGCTGCTGACAGGTGGAGGGCGACGTCTGTCCTGGTCTCTGTTAGAGATATGCACAAGGGCTAGCAGGATGAGGAGACCTGTGAAGAAGGTGCCTCCGAATCCCAGCAGTAAGCCATACAATACTGGCATTATTACATCCAGCGGCCCCTTCTGGTACAGGGGGACAGGACCCCGTTCCACAATCAGATCCAGGTCCCTCCATGACAAATCCTTCACTAAAACCCACACAATCATGACACGCAGGTTTAGGGTAATAAAGGGTGCATTTTCCGTCATGTACCGACTTGAATGAAACACAGGAGGACTGGAGGAAATGGACAGGTGATAATTACATTTTAAATTTCAAGGTGTCCTGGGAAATACTTCTCATACAGTAAGAGGGCTGTGGTTGAGAAATAATGAGTTGGAAATACGCCCACGGCCACCGAATCTAATCCAGCATCTCATCATCTTAATAGACTCATGGTTCAGTGGAACGTTACATAATTTGTCATTCAGAAGGCCTCTGGAGGGATGACCCAAAAATCTTCTCTTGACACCACGGTATATGAGCTTTAACATACCGTTACTGCTCATTGCATGCAGTGTTAAAATTGATGGCCAATTTTGGTTTAGATTTAATCTTAGGTGAATATAGCAGTAGAGCAACAAAAAGACTTAGACTATGACAATTTCAAAAAAGTTATTTTGGTTTACCAAGTTTAGATCAGTTTTGTTAAATAAAACATGCAAAAATTTTTTGTTTATAAAATTGACCAAACTCATTTGGTTCATTTATTCTCAGGGATTGATGGTATTCTAATCTCCATCAACTCTGTCAATACTCACATGTATTATTATTATTGTATATTAGTGTAATTATTATTGTAGACACAGACAAACAGTAATATTAAAATGTTGCTATAAGACCGCAACATATTTAACTTTTTGTTGCCAGTTTAGTTCATACATCAATGCTTTGGTCTCTTTACTTTGCGCTACTCTCAGAATGACATCCATGAAGCTAATGCTTTACATCTACCCGATGAATGAACATAGATCTCTATCATTGTTCGACTAGTTAAATGACGAATTCTGGGCTGAGTGGACTTTCACTTGCCACTCATTGTTACTCCACCAATACACGAATAAGTTTCAGTGTTATTTAACCTTGTGTAACTTTGTATTTAGTTTTTTGATTAGTTTCCTTCTGATTAAGCAAGGTCATTCACTCAGTATATGATAAGAATGATAAGTCAACCAAATGAACCAATCCTACCGTGTCTCCTCTTGGACCTCTGACCCGTGTCCTGCTGGTGTTCAGGACTGGGTTTGAACGATGGCATTTTTAAAGAGCTCACATATTTGTGATAACCTTCTACGAAGCGCTTCAGGTTTAAGACTTTGTCCTGGTTGATGTTCTTTCCCAGTTCTGTGAAAACAAACGGACACAATGACTTTGTACCAGTACTTTTTCTGTCACCTCTTGTGCTGTTAGCGAATATATGAGTATCTCCTCCAAAACAGGGTTGTAAATTTGGATCTAATTGTTGTTTTCTTGCCATAGACGTAATTAGTTCTGGCAGGGAAACAACTGCTGTCCTCTAGTTTAAAATAAACGACGCAAGTTTCTGCGTTTGAGAAGATCTCATCCAAGTGACGATCAAGTGCATGATAATTACTACATTCCACATCCAAACTGTGTTCTTTGTCCATCAAAGCTGCTTTTGCTCCCACTCTTGTCTTATAACACATCTCTTACCATCCTCTTCTTGTCTTTTTTTTTTTTTTTTTTCTGGGAAGCTGTCTATGAAAGGAGCAGATGGTTTGGTCTACGGCTGGTGTCAGCTCCACAGAGTCTTCTGTCAGATCATTTACACCTCTCTGTACTGACTCCGCTCCGGAGCTGTGTGCACGCTGGACTGCTAACACGTGTCGGAGTCTGGCAGTATACAAAATATGCCACTTTTGAAGTTCCAATTACAACAAATCTCAAAGTAATGAAGCAATTACACACTGTTGTTAAAGTCTGGAAGAGGCTGACTTGACCGAAATAATCAAATTTTGAAAACACACTGCCACGATCACAAATTAGGCTTTGTTCCAATTTCCTTTTTGTCAGGGGACATGTTGGGATGTTTGCTTGTGAGATTTGCTGCTACCAACAACTCTTTGTTTTACCCCCCTCTAATCCCCCTTCACACAAATCTGTACTATTATTCGGTGCTACACCAGATTAGTATTTTCACCATCTTCATTTGCGTCTCACCAATTGCGATGTCAGTTCTGCCGACGTATTGCAAGGCGCGCATGAGCCGGTCGTAGTACATCTGCTTGTCGTACTTCAGCAGCCAGTCCATCAGGGCCTTCTTGCACTGAGCCTCCGTCTCTAGTAAACAGAAAAGAGAACAGGTGAGAGTCGGACTGACGAGGGCCTCGCATTCTGTCTCTCTTTTTTTTAAGCTTTCACTTTTTTGGTCTGAATGCTTTGACAAGTTATTCATTCATGTAATCCACCCGTCTGTCTTGGTTTGGTTTTTTTCTTTTTTCTATTTTTTAATAGAAATTGTAATAGACTTTTATAGACTGTAATGTCGCTCAAATGTTTGCTCAAATACATTTAACTCATCCGTGCGGATGAACTGGGCTGCAGCCTATAAACTGGGTGGGCGGAGGGGCAGCTGATGAGCACTAACCTTCAGAAGAGGTGTCTCTCTTGCTCCGTGTCTTGAGCTCCTGTAGGTTTTTTCCCTCTGAGAGACGTTCAAGGTGCTTAAAGATGTTTTCCTCTGGTTTGGAGAGGACGACCCGAAGTTGCTCACATTCTTTGTAAGTCAGCAGTTCCACCATACGTTCCAGTTCATGCACACTTATGTCCTCTGCCACTGAACACAGACCGCACAAATTAGGGCGATTGAGCGTTTGCCTATCGCTAACAGACACAAAGTCTGTATTTTACAGATTACTTTAGAAAGCAAAGGGCTAAACTTAGATAGATCTTAGAAAGATAACATCACATGTTTTAGGGGATCACACAGTGTGATCTTAGACCATGGGTCTCAAACCTTTGGTCACTTTGGGTCACTTCTGACCTGTGGTCCTGTAGTTATTTTTTTTCTTGTCCAAACCAAGCTAATACATGATTTAAAAAACAAATTCTAGTCAGACGACAGACAAAAAGCTTCTGATTTTAATCTGTTATTCCCAGACCAACCTGTTGGGGCTTTAGGACAGATCATACATTAGGGCTGTATGTTGCCTTATTTATCATGGTTATAATAAGACACGGTATGAACAGCTGAAATAACAACAGCCATAAAACTTGTCATCTTCACACTTGGCGTTGCAGCATGTCAGTACGTATCAGTGAAATTTGGAAATGATGAATCCTCGTGCTGACACCTAACATTTCTGCAGCATTGTTCTGTCAATTAGCAAGTGCTCTTGTGTGACATGAAACTGTCATCCATCATCTGCAGAAAATAGAAACTGATTAATCAACATTTCACAAGTGGCAACGGAAAACATGAGGAATCAGCAGACGTTTCTCAGTTGATTTCTCACAAAATGTCAGCGTCTGATGTAACAGCACCTGCTGCATGAACGCTCTCTCTCACCTGTGTCTTCCCCTCCGAGGGCTAAACTCAGGAGAGGAAAGATGGAGAACAGACAGAGTTTCCACACTTTCATGTCAGTTCAGTACTACAAACCCAATAACTGATGTGAGTCAGAGTATTAGCAGTGTCCCTTTACCACTGGCTAATAAATGTCTCAGGTTCAAAACCTATGTTTGTTAGAGATGTGGTTGTTGATTGTAATTAGACTTTCTTTTTAATGATCAATGGTTAGCCTAGAGGTTTGCCTAGTGTTTGAAGTCTTTGATCAAATCTTTTTGATCCTTTGAAGTAAAATCCAAACCTTTGAAATGAAAATGGAGATTCACACCTGCACAGTCCCAAAAAAAAAAGAGAGAGAGAGAGAAACCTCATAGAGCACATGCTGACTCCAGTTGTAGATTAACTGGTGATTAAGAAGCACATAATTGATTAGTTCATTATTGATTGTGCTGATTTTTTATTTTTTTTATTTTTAGTCCAACATGTAACTCTGCTGAATCTGCCTTAATATAGTAGTGATATAGTAGGTACGATGCTGTTTTACATTCTGACGTCTGTGACTAATACTATTTTGGAATTGAAATGTCCTATTTATTTTTGTGCTTCCCGTAGGAATCAAACCCATGACTACCTGCTCGCTGCTTCCGAGGCAGATGTCAATACTGCTGCTTATAGTAATGTGCATCACCTCATTTTTAAGCCTCATCAGACCATGCCACCGAGACAAGGTGAGTAGAGTTTTATTTATATTGATATATAGTCATATATATGACCTTTGCTTAACAACATGTTGCTACAATTTGATGTTATTGTTTTTTTTTTTTTTAATGATTACGTTTCGTATTTGCGGAGTCTCGAGTGTCAGGAACAAAACCGAGCCCAGCTTTGAACCTCATCTACCAGAAACCTCCTCACGCAAACAGACGGATGTAGTTACAGAACTACAGTATTTGAGTAGGGAAAATACCTCACTTTAAGGTTAGATTTCCTCTTGGTGTGCACTCCATATGCAGGAGAAAAGGTGTGCTGTGCATAGATGGCGGTGCAGCTCTCCACAGGAGAGAAACATGTTTAATGATGGTTGTGTAGGCAACAGCAAGAGCATGTTCTAAATTGTTAATATGCATGATTTGCCCAACAATAGGCTTGTTTGTGTGGGCTGAGTCTTAAAACTCTCCGTGTTGGCTCCTGCATGAAAAAAAAACATGCTCTGGGGCTGAGTACCACAGAAAGTCAGGAGTGGGTGGTATAATGGCTCTGAAATTATTAAAAAAAATAGACTGTAAGGAAAACAACAGAGACGAGACACAAGGTCATGGAATTTATTTACATTACAGGGTTGCATATGCAAAACATTTTGGTTTTTTTTGTTCTGCAAAACTTGTAAAAATGCATACGATACATAAAGCCAAAGGCAAATAAAATTATGTTCGAATATTATTTGCAAAATTAATTTAGCATTTATTTTAAGCATTTATATTTCCGTGTGAAACATTTAAAATGCATGGGAAAGTTAGGGGAATATCTGAGCTGTAGTTCTTCCAGCGATTGGACTTGTAGGAGGTGAAGCCATATCCCCATGTCTCTTACACTTCACACCACTGAAATCTGGTTAAGGGATGATACAGACTCCGGTGGAATGAAGGATAGAACACATGGGATATTCTTGGAGAAGGTGGCTAAGATTAATGACAAGATGCTATAGGACATATAAATCAGTACATGTAGCATCATAAAAAAATATATTCTTAGATTTTCTTATCTTGGAATATTATACCCCAGAGCATCGAGTTATTTTCAGGGCCACTAAGCTAACGTAACATGAAGGAGAGCCTTAAGCTTAAATGTTGAGCTGCAACATGTAACCATTGTGGCACCTGGTTCAGAGTGAGACGGTCAGGACTGTTTGATTTATGAGGAGGCCTCGCAGGTTGAGGGGGTGGCAATGAGTGCAGCTCCAACAATTGGATAAAGGCCTCTCCCTTTTTGTGACTTGGAGTGTAAAGCCTGAATTTGAGTCAAAGACGAGATCAGGCCTGTCCTGCTCTGTGGCTTCAGGGTTTTGGGCAGCTGTTGAAATCCTGGGTTCTGGCAAGTTGTCGCAGGCCTGAGCTGAAAGAATGTCTACTTATCAGTGCTGCAGCCCAAACAAAACCCTTCCTTCGAGCATCCCACATCTGTAGAAAGACAACACTGAAAGGATACTTCGCTCAACCCCAACACCTGAAGCGTTTTCATACTTACCCTTCTTTACAATTCACTCTATATTCGAGAAATATTGGTAATTAGTGCAGACTTGTGGTACAGATGTTGTCTCTTAGCATGGAATTTCCAAATGCTATTTAAATTTATATAAAAATTTTCTTTTGTAACATTTGGACAACTCTTGTTGGTAATATCAGTTAGTATAGACTAGCCTTTTCTGTGGATACAGCTTGCTTTACTATTGCGTAAATGCATGACGTACCTTGTTTGTTCCTCGACTGTCCCACTGAGTCCTTTAGCATGTCTTGAATCTAGCACCTAAACCTTTCAAAGCAGTTTCAAAATGGACTGTCGGTGCAGCCGACGAGGTGATATCAGAGTTCCCTCTGACTTTTTTCTCTACCTGCCTCAGGTATTGGTGTTTTAGAGGACTCTGCTAACCAATAAGATTTCACCCTCTGAGGAGTACCGCCCACTTTTTCACCACACCCTGCCGTGTGTCACGCGGTACATTATAACGGGGATGAAACAAACGTGTCCTGTTATTTGTTTTTATTTGGGAAGTTTTCAACTAGCAATAATCTCAAACAGAAATCTTTATCCATTAAGGAGCTTTAATGAAGGTCATTTATTTAAATAAGGAGGTTTTGATGTTATTCATCAGCGTTCCTTATTTGATGAGATGCTGCTGTGATTTGCTCATTATTGTCTGGCTCTCTAGAGTAGCCAGTGTTCTTCATTAGGCCAGAGTGTCTCTGAAGAATTTCAAAACCTCTCCAAAACTAATTTTGCTGCAGTGTGATAACAATGATTACTTTTGCCCCAGCTAAATAAATAGCTCCTGAACACCACTCAGCCATATGTTGTTATACTACATTTACATGATTAGGGTTTGTAACTGAAGGCTGATGTTCTCTCTCAGCTAGTGACTTCTGGCTACCCAAACACCCCCAAACCCAACTCTTTCAGTCTCAACCGGGCGACACCCAACATCACTCACTGTGAAAGGGGACTGGTTCTTTGAAAAGCATTCTTTCCCATCACAATAGCAGGGCTAGGTGGGCGGAGGGGGGGTGAGGTGGAGGTGGGGGGGGTGTACTGAGGAGGAACTGCTCTGACACATTCCTGAAGTGGAGAGAGCCTTGCCTCACCTGAGGAGATATTTCTCTCGAGATCACGTTCGTTTGAGCCCAGTTTACTTTCAATGTGATTATATTGACAAGGACACCAATATCTTTGAGTTATGAACCGTTGTCCTCCCCAGGCAGAGTCTGCTTTACCTCTGTATTTGATGTGGGACAGTTGTGGACTATGTGACTTGTGTGGACTAATCTTTCAGACCACTGGAAGGTGACAGCTGAAAAATGAGTCCCCCCAAAAACACTCCACTGAATGGAGAACCACGTGTGTGTGTCTGGAGTTGAACCGTGGGGAACCTTTGGGTCTTTGTTGTGTCTCGCATTGTTGGCTGTTGAAACTTTAAACAGGTTAGCTCAGTTTAACATGTTTATGCAAATGCATACAAAACACAACCCTCCCTGCAGCTACACGTTACCACATCACAGCATGTATCAGTATGCATTAAAGTATGCATCAACTGCTGTTTCCTTGTAGTCCCAGACAAAGGATGTTTGCCGTTTGGGTGCAGCTGCCACAAACGTGATCAAAAGCCCTGTGTTAAGCAGAAGCTTCTACATAGATTTTTATGGATTTATGAAATGCCGTGCAAAATGTAAACATTAAGCACCAAATAAAAACCCTTTAACAGAACATGCTTGTTCTTTTATGGACGTTCAGCTTGTTAAAAATGCTGCTGCGAACAAACATAACAGAGAAGATGGTTCAGTGAATGAAATGTTTATGTGCAAGACATGGTTGGTCTTGCTATTCAAATAAAGCAACCTAATTGTGATCATCTCAAGTCTCGGCATGTTTATCTTTACCGGAAATTAAAAGAACATGGTTGCTGGTTAAAGCCACAGTTCTCCGCAGGGATGTTGGGAATGAAGAGTGATCCTCAGAGGAGGAGATTTGCTGAATGAAGGTGTTACTGTATTTCAGCACCATGATCCCTGAAGGCAACAGACAGAGTAAAGGCTTCGTTCAAACACGTCACGCTGAGGAATGTGAGCTTCAACACGGCATTCAGGTCCGGGTTCAGCAATCTGATCTGTGGAGTAAGGACACACAAACTCGCAAACTCCACTCAAACCAATATCTATGCTTAATCTGGAAAAGTTCTAGGATAGATTTAAAAAAAAAACTCAGTTCCTCTTCATATTCCACATTTAGAATGCCTTTTTTGTCTTTTTTGTCTTTGCATTTAGAGACTGTCTGTTGCTTCAGGTCACAACCTACTTCTACTCCTTTGACTTGTCTTAGGATTAAAGACTTTTTCATCTTTCACTTTTGTGTAAATAAAAAAAAAATAGATGAAAACCCGTTTTAACGCTTCAATAACAAACTGTTCTTTTTGGAAAAAAAGCTAACTAAATAAATTTGCCACATTGGCAAAGATGCAATAATAATAATAAAAAAAGACTTGTCAAAGCCGTTGGAGACGCCTGAAGAAAGTGTCCTAATGTTTTAGTTATTAAAAGTCACACTTTAAAAATGATAACATCTGTTGTACTTCTTTTCCTTTTTATTCCCCTAGTCAGCATGTGACTAGCACTCTCTGACGCAAATAAAATTAAAATGAAATACCAACCTAAGTTGAGGGTGAGGGTAATTGCATTTTTCCTACCTCTTAGTTATTTTGTTGTAAATAAGTAGAGAAGTAACATTATATTAAATAGTTGCTGCATTTGAGTAAGATGAACGAGTGTGAGTGACTATCACTGTAAATGTCGTTAGTCTGTGTCAACATTAAATACATTTTTTTTCAGCTCGGTCAGTGACACCAATATATACCATGACTAATGGCACCGGTGAATGTTTCATCACCATAACTCAGCTCTCACTGATGCTTATTGTTTATTCATGTACAGTATGTAGGACTTATGGACTGTGCAGCTTTATGGGCGTGCTACCTTTTCATTTTTATGTTTAACACCTTCTACTCATTTGAATCTAAACATGACTCACAGATTTTTTATGAATGCACATAGTTTTCCTAATTTAATAGATTCTTATCTGCCTTTTAATAGCTAGTATAAATCTGGTCTGATATTCCTGGGTGTTGGCTGTGATCTGCAGGCTCTGTAGCCCAAGGCTGGCCAGAGGTTTTTTCTTTCTCTGCGTTGAAACTCTCCTCATCTCTCCCTCCCTCTCTCCTCTGCTCTGATGCTTCCTTGGCTGATTCTGTTCTGACATGCCTGGGCAGG